ATCAGAAGGAAGGTGAGATTAATACAAAGGGATTTATCCCTTCAACCTTTTGCTTTCTCCCCTTTCATGTCATTCAGAATTTTCACCCAAACTTTGCTTAAACCTCAAACAGCTGATCTATCATACCCCTATGAAAAGTTATAACATGATTTCACAAATTTAAATAAATAAAACACAGAAATGACACGAAGACGCTCTAAAAAGAACAGCAAAAAATTAATTAAAAAAATTATTCAATCTAAAAAATTGAAAACGAATAGAAAAGCTACAGAAATGGGTTCACAACAAGAAGAAACAAAATCAAAACGACGTACTCGAATGAATTTTAGTGAGGAACAGATTTGTTATTTGGAAGATTTTTTTGGAAATACTTGTCATTATCCGGATTCCTATCAAAAGGAAGGTGAGAGGATTTTAAAAACGAATACTGTATTCTTTCTAATATGCGACCAAATGGTTTATTTTTCAACCATCCTCTAGGTGTCGGTTTATTAGAAGGGGTCGGTCTAATAGAGAGAGTCGCACTATTAGAAAAATACGGTATATAAACTAGAGATCGGAACGAAACGAGAACTCGAACAAAATCCCGGTTATAGGTGTTTTTGAGATAACGATCACGATCCTCGTACGACACTCATAATCCGATCATTATTATACCCTATTTAGTGATGATTCGGTTGTGTTATAAGTACCAAAATACCCAATCCCGGTGTAAATTAGTGTTCGGCACGGTTCAATACTCCAGCAGTACTCCCGAAAGTATTGGCTCGGTACTTTTTGGACTTCCGGTATTGGTATTGAAAAAATCAATTTGCCGAACACTACATATGTTCACAAAGCACTGCCCGAATTTGATAATTTTTTATACGTCCCAATTTTATTCGAAATAATTAAGGGAGTCCTGCAGAACTCCCCGGCCCAAAAATTAAATGTATGGCACTTTGGCTGAATGATAATCTTTTGGAAAAAAAATTGTTTAAATTAAATAAGAAATATAATTTTATATATTAAGTATTCCCCTTATAAAAATATTTTTGCGGAAATTTTTTCCGGACTTTCTTCGTAGAAATTGTGTTTTAAATTTTTTTTGGGGAAAGGGACAGCTGTGAGGGACGGGGTACAACCCTACTTAAAATGTCAGAATACATGGACGCTCCCTTTCATTAATCTAGTCCGATGATCGAGTAAAAATAGTTGCATAACCCGACTAGGTAAAAATAAAACTAGAAAATGATCCAGACGGCCCGTTTAAAAGAAAAATTATAACAACGTCTGTCCGACGTCATAAGCAGCTAGATTTCCGAGTTCCGACGCTTTTTTCCTTCTGATTTCCGATTTCCAAAAATTTAGGCTGATTTCAGAAAGTTCCGATTTCACCTCTGGTCATAAGTAAAAATCGGGTTTTAGTGATAGCTGAGAGAACATGTTCCTACTAGCTGAGATTTCTGATCCCTATTTTAAACAAGTCTAGCCATTTATCCAAAATTAAAATAAAATTTTTAAGAAATTGCCCGCCGTTTAAATATAACAATGGACCGGATTACGGTATTTTCACAATAAATTAATATTTTTTAAATTCTTTAAAGGTTTGGTTCCAGAATAGACGATCAAAGTTTAGAAAGTACGTGAGGGGCAAAAATTCAAAATTTAAAGATTGGGAATTTAAATTGGATTTAAAATTTGACTCAGAAGAGAAGTAATGTATACTGTATATATTAATCAGAAAATTCTCAAATTTAATAATTTTTATTACCCAACGTCCGCAACCTTTTATCCGCAAATCTTTTTTATAATCTTCTCAAAAATAATTTTTTATTTATTTTAATTTTAAATTTTACAAAAATTTTTTACAAAAAATTGCACATTATGGGTATATTAGAGTCTTAAAATGGAAGAATTATTTTTAAAAAGGTCACCCCTCTAAATCAGCCTTTACTTCAAGGATTTTCTCAGTTAAACTTCCCTTCTTAAATAGATCTAAAATATTCAACCCAGACTCTAATATCTTTTAAAATCACCGAGAATTGTTTAAATACACGAATATAGTCGAACCTCATTAAAAGACCCTCATTATAAGATACACTCAATACTAGAGACAATCTATTTAAGAGACGTCTTTTAAAGTTTGGTTGGACTAGGACGTAAGGGCAAAGGGGGTGGAAGGGCTCTCCCTCCAGTCTAAACGACACCCTTAAGGTATACCTCCACTAGGGTGGAAGGTTCTAAGAGGCGGAAGGGTATCCTCAGCCTGGGCGTTACCCCAAATTTAAGGTATACTTCGTTATAAGGGCACATTTCTTAGTCCCAGAGGGCAGGCCCGTAGCCAGGATTTTTTTTCGGGGGGGGGGCCAAGGGTGGAAAATTTTTTCTGCGCCAAATTTTTGGCGCCGAAGGCGCCAAAAATTTTTATTTTCAGCGCCGCAGGCAAAAATTTTGAGAATTTTAGAAGGCCGTAGGCCAAAAAAATTCACTTTTTCGGCGCCGCAGGCTCCAAAAATTTGATTTTCAGCGCCGCAGGCGAAAATTTTTTAAATTTCAGAGGCCGTAGGCCAAAAAATTCACTTTTTTTGCCCCAGCCCTTCCCCAAATTTTTTCCTTTTTCCCATTTCGGGGGGGGGGGGGGGAATTCCCCCCCTCATCCCCCCTGGCTACGGGCCTGCCAGAGGGGAGTTTCTAAAAACGAGGTTCGACTGCATACAAAAATTCACAAAAATATTTAAGTAAATCTTAATTTAGATCCAGTACTTTCTGCCCTTCTCCTTTCAATTTCCTCCTCATTTTTATTATTTTCTCCCTCTTCCCTTTCATTTAAATTTTCATCCAAATTAATTAAATTAGTGCCAGACAAAAAAGAAGTTGACATAAAATCAGAATAATCCTTTTCAAATTTTACTTCCTCATTTTCTTCTAATTTACAATTATTATTATTGTTATTATTATTTGCATGCCAATTAATTCCAGCATTCATAGAGTTACTTTGTTTAGTTTTGCCGTTTATTCTGAAAATTAAAGGGAAATTATGTATAAGAAATATAAAATTAAATCAGAATTTTGAAAATAAATTCAGAATAAAAATCAGAATTTTCGATTTAAAATCAGAATTTTTAAAATCAGAATTTCTAAAAATCAGAATAAAGATCAGAACCTCCAGAAAAAATCAGAATAAAGATCAGAACCTCCAGAAAAAATCAGAATAAAGATCAGAACCTCCAGAAAAAATCAGAATTTTCATTTTAAAATCAGAAAAATCAGAATTTTCATATTAAAATCAGAATAAATACCAGAATTTTCAAATCAGAAAAAAATCAGAATAAAAACCAGAATAATCAGAATTGATAATCAAAAATTAGAATTTTCGATTAAAATCAAAATTAAAACCAGAATTTTCAATCAGAATTCTCGATCAAAAAATCAGAATTATTCCCACCTTGGCCCTCTCACTGTCCCATTTTTACATCTCATGGGTAAATCACTCATTTGCAAATCTTCGTCAGTCTGACCGGCTGGGATAAATGTACGTTCAGTTTCAAATTGTCGACGACTCTCCCTACTTCCCCCGGACAGAATAGCTCGAAGGAGGGGGACTTTGCTTATTTGGCGTTTTAATGCATTTTGAATTTCGGCATTTAAAAAACAATATAACTGTAAAATTTAAATAAAATTTTTAAATAATCTACACAATATATAATAATTGAATTATTAATTTATTTAAATAATTTAAAAGAAACTGGAGAAAAAACATACCACAGCGATGAAAATACCCTGAAAAAATTGGTGTGAGAATTTAGAAAATAAAATCGTGGAAATTAAAAATTCAAAATGGAAAATTTCAAAATGGTAAATAGATGTCGAGTTACTGTATTTCTTTCGAAATACAAGAGCCTCTAGTAGAGGCATTGAATGATTTTTCCGGGGCTATGTTTTAAAAGGAAAGGGCCCCCTAGAGTACCAGCCAGCTTTGATCGGCTATAACATTTTTTAGCATTGGTCCAATCTGTTTAGCCTTGAGTCAACTCGACTGACCCCAAGTCGTATTAAAGGATTAGGTATTTTAGGAAAATAGGGTTCATATTTTCTAAAATTCCCCCATTTTCCCACCTGAGAATGTTGTAAAATAGCAGATCCTAGCATATAAAAGGCACTTGGTTGGGGTGGTTCGTAGAATAATGGCACCTTAAATTTAATTGAAAAATCTTTATCTTTCTCTCACTCCAAAGCTTACATTTGAGACTCCAAGTAGAGGTACTAATAACATCGTGGCTTTAACCGTTCGCCATATTTGCCTAGACTCGGCTGAGCTTTCATGACGAAGTTTGCGCACCAAAATGATTATAATAAGAAGCAATAGGAACACATTCAAGATTAATGCCATTCCCATAGTACCCGCCAAAATCCACAAATGAGGTCCTTTCGCATATGGCAACCAGCAAAATGAACGGCTCTCGGATTGTCTTTCGTGTATCGTTGCCCATGAAGCTACAACTAAGAAAGGAAGTACCCATCCAGTGAAAAGATAAACAAAATAGGGAGCTTCTGATCTTCTCATTGCAAAAACTGTGAATCTAAGAAGGAAATTTAAGCAAGTTAAAATCTGATTCTTATCAGTCTAATGTCCCTTTTAGATATCCCCTTAGGGTTTAAAAATCGTCTTTTATAATGAGGTGAATATTAAATAGAGGGTCTCGCCTTCATAACCAGACGTTGAGATGCTTTTTTAATTGAGGTGTCTTTATTGGGGGGGGGGGGTAACTAAGAATAAGGGATCTTATAATGGGGTGTACCTTAAATAGAGGGTCTCGCCTTCATAAATGAATAAGAGAGAGTATCTTAAATTGAGGTGCTTCTATTAGGAGGGGTATTTAAAACGAGATTTAAAAATCGTCCCTTATAACGAGGTGTATATTAAATAGAGTGTCTCGCTTTCATAACCAGACAAAAGGAGTATCGGTGCTTATATAAGGAGGGGGCAACTAAAAAAGAGGGACAGAGAAGAGTCTTCATTACCTGCTGTATAAATAAACCCCTTCTATCAACATCCACATAACTGAAGCAACTTGAAAATAAATAAGACCAAAAAGTAGGGATTTGCATAGCCATTCCCATTGTCTCAACTTTAAAAAATTTCACAAAATTTTTAATTTTTAAGAATTAAAATTACATGTAAAGGCGCAAATTGTGTACAATCTTGAAATGCATTTCGAGTATTTAAAAACGTCCAAAGGGCAAGTATGGCAAAACGGAGAACGAAGGCAGCTGCTAGATTCTGTTAAATATTTTTATAAGGAAAAATATTTTTTTTAAGCAAAAATTTTTTTTTTCTGGCTTCAAAATAGCTAAAAGAGCCAAGTTCAAAACCTCCAAAAGTTGCCCTAATCCTGGCCTACTTATTTCCCTTCTCTTTATTTAAGTTTCTTTTAGCATCCTTTTGATCCAATTTGTGGCGTATTGGTAGTCCTCTTGACTGTCATTTTTACCCTATGAAGGTTTGAATCCTTTCGACTCCCAAAATTTTTTTTGCATTTTTAATGACATTTTTTCAAACAAATTACTTTATGTATAGATAGGCGTCGACATTGGACGGAATCAAAAGCAGAAAAAAGAACTAGAGCGGCAAGTAAAACACAAACGGAAACAACAGAAAGTGATAAAGAAACCTTTAAAAATTTGTTTTCAAATTAAAATAAAATTAATTACCCTTATAACCGTGTCACGTAAAAGATTGGGGCACTAAAAATTTTATTTAAATTTCATTAAAATTTTCATTTAATTTCACCGTTCTGCAATAACCAGCAACACATTGAGGATAGACTTTAAGCAGCTGAATACACTGGCCGTACATACTAAATAGGGAATTTTTTTGAGTTTAAAATTTATAAAAAGGTGAAAGCAGTTTCTAGCAGCTCAGTGGTAGAGCCAGTCAAGACCTAGTAGGAGGTCGTAGGTCGATGACTCTTTGGGACTGAAATTTACCTCTCTCACTAAAAAGGGTAAATTTCTAGTGATGTTCGAGTTAAAAAAAGCAGTGAGTCGAGAGTCGAAACCGAGACCGAGAATCAACCCAGGGACCGAGTCTTGAACTTCTCTACGAATTTCAACGAAACAGTTTATTTTTAATTAGAGGACTTCGCCAAAATAATGTTTGGCGAAATGTTTTTTTTAATGACATTCGAGATTTTACTTTATTAATATTCGGGAATTATTAGAATAATTTTTCTCCTAAAAATTTTTTCTTCAATCTCCCTCACCTATCTCCCCAAGTTCCATTCTCAAAACAATAACGACTGGCTGTATATGTTTGATCCATAAATTCACATTCAGGCAAAGATTTGCAAAATTGGAAGGGGCAAGGACGTTGGCCGATGGAGCCGAGAGAGACATTATACCAACAGAGACTTGAAATAATTTTATTGGTATAAAATGTCTTTTTTTAAAAATTGTACCTTCTATCAAAGTCAGGTTCACACAAAGATGACTGTTGTTGAACTAAGTAGTTAAACTCGCTAATAGATAAGGGAAAATTTAAAAAATGGAAAAACGCCAAAAAACAGAATGCCAAAAATATTTAAAAATGTCAAAAGGACAAAATTTTTTAAATGACAGAATGCCAAAGTTTTTTTTAAAAATTGACAGAACGCCAAAAAATTTCAACAAATGTCATAATAGCACTTCCGTTTAATCTGAAAATATACCTTTCTCCACCCTCATCTGTCAATTCATTTTCTGCTGTATTTAGTGGTGTATTAAAAATATTGTAATTATTAAGTAAATCTTTAATTTTAAAACAAGTGGCACTCTCACTTAGAGTCATTTTTTAAATTAATTGAAGTGAGGTATAACTAAATAAATTTATTTAATTAACAGAATGCCAATAAGTCAAAGATTGGCAAATAAATTAATTTTAAAAGTTGCGGATTTTCTAAAACAAATGCGGATTTTCTGCAAAATAAATACGGATGATTACGGCCAAAACATCCTTGTTAAATATCCCAATAATGATACACCTCTATTTAAGGAACATTTTAAAAATCTAGTTGGCCATTGTGTGTGGAGGGGGGGGAGTTAGTCCAAGGGGGTGCGGATATATCGGGACGGACATATCGGGATTGGGGTGACAAAAATAAGTTCTTGCGTGTTTACGTTTGTTCTAAAACATAAAACTCTATTCCAGGACAATATACTATCCAAGACTCAGTGGCCGGAGGTCCCGAAATCAGTAGGATCCGCGTGCCAGTTCAAGGGATAACATCCATTTAAAATGAGGCTGTATTAAAGAACCCCACGTTGTAATATACGATTTTTCAAGGTTAAAGAGGGTTTTAAAAATGAGGTTAAAAATGATTTTATATTTTTTTAAATAAAATCATCAAATAAAAAAAGGAAGTAAAAAAATTTTTAATTAAAAAAAATAAAAAATAGATCAAATTACGTTTTATTTTTTGTTTTTAAATTTTGAAAAAAAAATATTTTTTTCTGTACTTTAACCTATTTTTAAAAACAATTTCTTAACAAATTATTGGAATTTTTAAAAATAAATTTTTCAAAAAAAATGTAAATTGGGGGGAAAATAAAAGAAAGAAAATAAAAATGCAAAAAAAAGAATTAGAGGACACTAATTTGTCAAAAAAGGGCGGAAACGTGTCTCTTTTTTTGAAAGATTTATATTCCATCGATAATTGAGGGAATAAATTTTTATTTTTAAATATGGGCAATTGCAAGAGAAGAGAAAAATTTTTTGGAGTATATTTTCTTTAATAGAACCCCTCTTTTTTAAAGACACCCAATATTAGAACACCTCCATTTAATGGACGTTTTAAAAATCTGGGGCCATAAAATAAGAACTCGGTTGCTGGTTAGGTAACCAACAACCGGCGGTTTTAACCGGTAAAATAAGACGGTAGAAAGGCCCTTGTGGTTGCCTAACGATGGTAGGTGACCATGGTTAGGAGACAAGAGGTGACGAGTTGGGTGACTTCAGGTGAGTCACTGAAGTGACGTCAGGTGATCGAGTTCTAATTTTATGGCCTGGGGGGGGGGGAGGGTTGGGGATGCTGTCCAAGCAACGCTTTTTATAGAAAAATACACCTCAATATATCAAGAGATAAGCTCAAAATGGTCAGGGATATAGGAAAAATGGGGGGGGGGGAGTAATAAACCCTACTATTACCTAAGATTTTTACAAAGGTAATTTTAAGTGAAATAAATTTTTAAAAAATTTTAAAAATAAATATATTTTTAAGAAATTGACGTAGTTTTAAAAAAAAAAGAAAATTTTGAAGAAAAAATAATATTATTTTTAGTTGACTTGAAAATAAACAATTATTGTGTTTATGGAGAAGGATCTCCTTTATGTTGTTTATTTTTTTAAAGTGTAAAAATAATTAAATTTAAAAAAAGTAAAAACATTGAAATCTTGATATAAAGACGCCCAATCCCACGTCAATTTCCTTCAGAAGTAATCTTAAATCGGTTCCGAGGTATATGTTTTAGTCTGGATTGAGCCCCAAACTAATGTCACTTTAATTCTAACGTCGCTTTGGTATCAAATCAAAATTCTCTGATTTCTGAGTGGTCCGGTTCTTGAGGTATTAGACTTGATTATTAAGAAAGAACAGAAGGATTTTGCGCTTTTTCGAATTTTAAATTTGTGGAGAGAGAGAAAAATCTAGCTGTTTTCAAGAGATTGACGAGTATTACGGGATTTCGTTCGGAGATTTTGTATTTCCTTTATTTGAATGCTGCCTTTTAATAGAATGCCAATTGGAAGGTGATTGAAAAATACAATGCCACCCTCTATTTAAATGCCACTCTCTAATAGAACGCCCCACCTTGAAATAGAACGCCACCCTCTCCACCTTTGAAGGTGATTGAAAATTAGAATGCCATGGCATTCTAATAGAAGAAATACGGCAAACTCGTTTTTAAGACTTCATAACCTCTAATTATTAAAGAATTACTTTAAAAAGAAATATAAAAATTTATTTCAATTTTAAATGAAGTGAAATAAAAATAGAAATAAAAGGGTGGCAGGTGGAATAATTATTGGTTGGTTATTTAAAGCTAATTATTAAAATAAAAAAAACTTTTTTTTTAAATAAAAGGTGTAAATGTGCAATAAAAATAATTAATTCAACAAAAACCTTTCCAACTTTTTTTAGAAAAAACTTTTTTTTTTAATTTTTATTAATAGAAAGGGGAGGGAAAAAGGACCTTTTTCCAAATATTAAAAATTAATTTACTTAATATACATAATTATATAGCTAATTTATTTTCTTAAAGGAAAAGATACAAAGATTTTTAAAAAATCTTTGTTTGTACAAGTTAAACAAAAGCTTGGCTGTCAAGAAAAAAACGAACACGAGAACTAGCAAAAAGCCATTTCGAAAGAGTTTCAAGTGTGAGCTAGTCCACCTTTTGTTAATAAATCCACCTTTTTTAATCCAACCTAATCCAACTTAAAATCTCCACGAATCGAAAGTTTAGAACATGACCCTGATCTAAAATAGGATAAAGATGGACTCTATGACATAACAAAAGATTGGGTGGAAGGTCATTTGAAATTTTAGTTGGCCCAATACTGCCCACAACCAACATGAGATACCCATAATTTTATACATTTTAAACAGTTTACCTAGGCTAATCAGAAATATTCCCTCCCTTAAACTTATACTTCCAAAACCAAAGGCTACAGATTCCAACTTAGCGTGTGTTGTGAGGAATAAGTTCCTGAATTCAATTCTGTCCGCAAATTTTAATTTTTAGTCCGCAAACTTTTTTTTTGTTTTTATTTATTTATTTATTTATTTATCAACAAAAAAAAATGTCATCGAAAGGGCGTGCCACTTAATTCGACAACAATGTCGTAGCGTGGCACAATAAAAATAATAAAAATAAAAATAAAAAACAGCATATAAAGTCATACTAATTTAAATTATAAAAAAACACAAATTTGATATTATATTTGATTTATTCTTTAAATAAATATACTCCGTACCGACCATTTTAATGATTTAATTATTTTAAATTGTCAAAATTTAAAGAATTGATTTCTTCAACAATTTTGCTGCGTTTTTCGTTGTTTGTCATGTTTGCTGCAAAATTTAATGGAGAAAATTCAGAAGAATTGCGCTTAGACATTTTAGTCAAAAAATATTACCCAATTGTTTTAAATTTTTCAAAAGTCCTTAAAAAAAGCAAATTTGATTTAAAAGAGATAAATTGAGCAAAAATAAAAATTAAGAGAAAAGAAAAACTATGTTTTTAATTTAATGAGTCATCAAAAGAAAAATTGTATGGTTGAGTAAGAGACAATAGGATAAATTGTCATTAAATGTATTTTTGAACATAATGCCAAACAATAAATTTTAATTATTAATTTGAAATTTCCTTGTTCAAATATGCAAAATAGTAGTCATTTAACTATAGTTAATAGTGAAAGGAACGAATGCGAGAGAGAAAAACAAAAAACATAGAAATGAAAAAAATTCTTAGATTATACCAATAAAAAAGATTTGTTTAGATCTATTGAATAAGTATTGCTTTTATTTTATTTTTAAAACTAAGGGTTATTTTTGTAGTCCTAATTTCTTCATGTAAAACATTCCACATCTTAGTTACCCTATTAACAAATGAGTTCGATGACTTAGAATTTTGATTTTTAGATAATAAATAACATTTTTTCCTATTTGATATTTTAAAGAGATTGTCTGATTTAAGATGTGTATATCCATGTAGGATTCTATGTGCTAAAACGAGATCATAAGTTTTACGACGGTTTTCGAGAGTAGGAAGGTTAAGAAATTCTAATCTTTGTAAATATGGTATATATGGTAATGAACATTTTCTAAGTAAAGATTTTGTAAAGAATTTTTGACATTTTTCAAGTTTGTTAATTTCTGATCTTAGTTGTGGATTCCATGTTTCAGGAGAGTATTCTAGTAAGGGTCTTATATAACTTTTATAGATAGTAAGCCATGTTTTTATAGATTTTGATTTGCTTATTTTAAACACAAAATTCATTTTTATATAAGCAGCCCTAATAATTTTTTGTACATGTTCTTGAAATTTAAGTTTATTATCAATTATGATGCCTAGATCGCGTATAGAATCTACTTCATTTATAGTTGTATCAAAAATTTTATATTGATCTTTAGGATTAGTTTTACCAAGATAAATGATATATGTTTTATTAATAGCTATATTTAATTTCCATTTAGTTGCCCATTGTTCAATATTTTTGATATATATTTTCTTTAATAGAACCCCTCTTTTTTAAAGACACCCAATATTAGAACACCTCCATTTAATGGACGTTTTAAAAATCTGGGGCCATAAAATAAGAACTCGGTTGCTGGTTAGGTAACCAACAACCGGCGGTTTTAACCGGTAAAATAAGACGGTAGAAAGGCCCTTGTGGTTGCCTAACGATGGTAGGTGACCATGGTTAGGAGACAAGAGGTGACGAGTTGGGTGACTTCAGGTGAGTCACTGAAGTGACGTCAGGTGATCGAGTTCTAATTTTATGGCCTGGGGGGGGGGAGGGTTGGGGATGCTGTCCAAGCAACGCTTTTTATAGAAAAATACACCTCAATATATCAAGAGATAAGCTCAAAATGGTCAGGGATATAGGAAAAATGGGGGGGGGGGAGTAATAAACCCTACTATTACCTAAGATTTTTACAAAGGTAATTTTAAGTGAAATAAATTTTTAAAAAATTTTAAAAATAAATATATTTTTAAGAAATTGACGTAGTTTTAAAAAAAAAAGAAAATTTTGAAGAAAAAATAATATTATTTTTAGTTGACTTGAAAATAAACAATTATTGTGTTTATGGAGAAGGATCTCCTTTATGTTGTTTATTTTTTTAAAGTGTAAAAATAATTAAATTTAAAAAAAGTAAAAACATTGAAATCTTGATATAAAGACGCCCAATCCCACGTCAATTTCCTTCAGAAGTAATCTTAAATCGGTTCCGAGGTATATGTTTTAGTCTGGATTGAGCCCCAAACTAATGTCACTTTAATTCTAACGTCGCTTTGGTATCAAATCAAAATTCTCTGATTTCTGAGTGGTCCGGTTCTTGAGGTATTAGACTTGATTATTAAGAAAGAACAGAAGGATTTTGCGCTTTTTCGAATTTTAAATTTGTGGAGAGAGAGAAAAATCTAGCTGTTTTCAAGAGATTGACGAGTATTACGGGATTTCGTTCGGAGATTTTGTATTTCCTTTATTTGAATGCTGCCTTTTAATAGAATGCCAATTGGAAGGTGATTGAAAAATACAATGCCACCCTCTATTTAAATGCCACTCTCTAATAGAACGCCCCACCTTGAAATAGAACGCCACCCTCTCCACCTTTGAAGGTGATTGAAAATTAGAATGCCATGGCATTCTAATAGAAGAAATACGGCAAACTCGTTTTTAAGACTTCATAACCTCTAATTATTAAAGAATTACTTTAAAAAGAAATATAAAAATTTATTTCAATTTTAAATGAAGTGAAATAAAAATAGAAATAAAAGGGTGGCAGGTGGAATAATTATTGGTTGGTTATTTAAAGCTAATTATTAAAATAAAAAAAACTTTTTTTTTAAATAAAAGGTGTAAATGTGCAATAAAAATAATTAATTCAACAAAAACCTTTCCAACTTTTTTTAGAAAAAACTTTTTTTTTTAATTTTTATTAATAGAAAGGGGAGGGAAAAAGGACCTTTTTCCAAATATTAAAAATTAATTTACTTAATATACATAATTATATAGCTAATTTATTTTCTTAAAGGAAAAGATACAAAGATTTTTAAAAAATCTTTGTTTGTACAAGTTAAACAAAAGCTTGGCTGTCAAGAAAAAAACGAACACGAGAACTAGCAAAAAGCCATTTCGAAAGAGTTTCAAGTGTGAGCTAGTCCACCTTTTGTTAATAAATCCACCTTTTTTAATCCAACCTAATCCAACTTAAAATCTCCACGAATCGAAAGTTTAGAACATGACCCTGATCTAAAATAGGATAAAGATGGACTCTATGACATAACAAAAGATTGGGTGGAAGGTCATTTGAAATTTTAGTTGGCCCAATACTGCCCACAACCAACATGAGATACCCATAATTTTATACATTTTAAACAGTTTACCTAGGCTAATCAGAAATATTCCCTCCCTTAAACTTATACTTCCAAAACCAAAGGCTACAGATTCCAACTTAGCGTGTGTTGTGAGGAATAAGTTCCTGAATTCAATTCTGTCCGCAAATTTTAATTTTTAGTCCGCAAACTTTTTTTTTGTTTTTAGAAAGGACAAGAGAATTATGCAAAAAAGAAAACTAATAAAAATAAAATGACAAAAGAAAAAAATTAAAAAAAAAAAGAAAAATTTAGTTTTACCACGCGATAAAATAGAGGGGGGATTAAAGAAAAAAATTAGAGTTTTTTTTTGGGAAAAATGTATTAATTAATTTTATCTATGTAAAGAAATAAAAATAAATTTTTTAAATTTATTTTTAAAAAATAATCTTAGATTTTTCTTAATAAGGAAAAAATAAAAAAGTCCGCAAATTTTATCCGCAAATTTTGTCCGCAAGTTTAGTCCGCAATTTTTGTCCGCAAGTTTTGTCCGCAACTTTTGTCCGCAAGTAAAAATTAAATTAAAAAGAGGGTCAAAAGGCTCGTTAGAAAGAGAGATATTTAGGTTATCGGTATCGAAATTTTTGATAGAACAAAAAAGCCAAGACTCTACTAAAAATAAACTTGCGGACTAAACTTGCGGATTTTTTGAGGAAATAAAGGAAGGGTCCACCTAGTCCAGTGTTGTTTCGAAATTTCGAGTTTAAAAGATTTTTTGCCTTCGATTTTGATATATTTTTGAGGCTTCAGAAGCGAGAGAAAAGAGAAGGAAGTAAATCTGAAAAAAATATAGGCATGTTTACCCCTTCAGCAAAAAATCTGCCAAAATTAAATTAAAAAATAAAAAAAGGGGGAGAGAGAGGAAAAGGGAAATCTCTCTTCATGATGACTGTAAAAGGACAAAAAATTTTATTTTTATTTCCCCCAAAAGCCAGTTAAAAACGGAAATTGGATAAATGGTGTAAATTGGAAGGGAAAATAAATTAAATAAATAAATAAAAACATTTAAGCTTTAATTAAATTAAATAATTTATTAGGACATTTTAAATATAGCCAAAATAGAAGGGAAAATGACGAGAGATTTTGACTGGAAATAGTGGAAAATTAATTTAAAAAATTTAAAAAAATATTTTGAAAAATTTGGAAAATTTCAGAAAAATATTCAGAAAGGCGTTAAAAGGGCAAGAAAATTTTTCTAAAATTTTTTCTGAAAAAATTTTTCTTTGAAAATTTCTAAAAATCTTTTAGAAATTTTTTCGAAAATTTTTAATTTTTTTTCGAAATTTTTGATTTTTTTGTAAAACAAAAATTTTTTGAAAAATTTTAGAAAAATATTTGGAAAGGCGTTAAAAGGAGCGGAAAATTTTTGAAAAATTTCTGAAAATTTTTTTTGAAATTTTTTTTGATTCTTAAAAATTTTTTTTTTCGAAAATTTTTGAAATTTTTTTGAAAAACAATAAATTTTGAAATTTTTTTTCATATTTTTTAAACTTTGAATATAATATTGATAAAAATTTGAAAAGAGCATTGCAACTCTAAAAAATAAAATTATGTAAGCAATAAAATATGAATGGAAAAATAAGTACATAAAATGTGAGTGGATTTATGGATGCTTATGGATGAAGCATGGATGAAAACATATTTTTGTTTAGGACTCCCACTCTTTTTTCAAAATTTAAATGGTTGTTAGGTAAATTTAAATATAGAAATATTAAAAAGTAGGTAATTAAATAGTTAAAGATTTTTTGAGAGAATTAAAGAGGGGGAAGATAATTATTTATTTTAAAATACGAGTAGAAGAGAGTATTATGTCTATAACTAGCGGTTATGTTTATCATTGAATCAAAATTTTATATCAAAAAATAGAAGAGAATCTGGGCTACAAAATAAGCTAAAAATTAGCCAGAAAAATTAAAATTTAAGAATGTTGTGAATTTTTGAAGCAACCTGGACAGGATGTCTCAACACAAGTAAAAGGGTGTTTAAAAATAATTAACTCGACCTTAGAGATTTTGAAATAATCAAACATTATATCGAAAAATAGAGGAGAATCAGGGCTACAAAATAGCCAAGAAAAAAATTTTTGGATCAAAAATACAAAATGATATAAAATTTTGTTCAAGTTTGGTCATAATATTTGTTATTCAATGTAGGGTTATTTAAACCCTCATAACTTTCCTTATAAAATCGACTCAAATTCAATTTAAATGTCAAAAGATAGAGCAGATTCTAGGCTACAATATGACACATAAAAAATAAATATAGAACAATTCCAAATCGAAAAAAGTCGAAAAAATTGGGATAAAATGTCATCTACATAATAAAAAATAAAACAAAACTTAAAATTAAATTTAATTGATTTTCCAACCAAAAAAACTTTAAAAGTGCATCATAACCAAGTAAATAAACATTTTAATTTACTCATAAAAATAAATTTAAAATTCACTCCCCTTTTTATTACTCAATTTTTTATTTTATTTTATGGTAATTTACTCATTAATTTAGTTATATTTCTCTAAAAAATTGAAAAAAAATTAGAAAAAAAATTCCCCTACCCCAATTTTGTCCCTAATTTTATTGGGGATTTATGGAGGATTTATGGGGAATATTTGCAATTGAATTAAGTAAAATAAAAGAAAAATAAGGGGGGAAAACAGACAAAAACAGGGAGAAACGACAACAAAAACGTTGGGTGAGGGGGGGGGGGAGGTTTTTTTCCCCCTCTCCCCCTTCCTCCTAAATATTTAATAAATTCATAAGTATATTTAGAAAGGGCAGAAAAATATATAAAAAATTGAAAAAAAATTTTTTTCTTGTTAGTTCTTGAATTGCCAACAAAAAAATTTAAAAGAAAAGAGGGAAAGTTGAGAAAACAGCTGTTTTAGTCAAAAGAATTTTAAAGAAAGGGGGCGTAAAAATAAGGTATAAATTGATTAATTTGTGTAAAAACTTAATAAAATTAAATTAAGGTGAAAATTGAGTAGAAAAAAAAGAAAATGAGAAAGATGATTAAATTTAAAAAAAAAGTAGCGTAAAAGTCAAAATTTTTGGTGATTCGAAATCATGACCATATTCGCCCGAGCTTTAGTTACCACCCGATACCCGAAAACGGGCTTTTTTCGACCCGACTTGGATGGACTGGTTAACTGTATATTTGAATTTTTTACCACAAAATGACCCTATGGTTTTTGACCATTTCGAGCCCTCATCTCGGTCCAGAGACATTTCCGGGAAAAAAGTGTGGTACCGTTCGACTCAGCACCTTTTATTACCCTATATATGACATTTTAAACATTAATTTAGAGTGAGGTGGCATAACGGAAAAGTACCTCCGCAATTTTACGCCCTGAACCCGACCCAACTTTTTTTTCAACCCCTAGAGCCTTGGAAAACCTCGAGCCTCGAAATACTTTCGGTTTCTTATGTCCACATTGTAAAAATTAATAAAAAAAGGATTTTCTTAAATTAAGGATATTAATTAGAGTATATAAAAATGTTTTTTTTTTCAAAATTCTTTTGGGTAGACAAAAAACAGTTGTCCTTCTTTTTTGGTGTAAAGTTAAACTTTTAAAATATTAAAAATATTTTTTTGATTTATTAAACAACTGACTATTTTAGAATATTTTTAAATAAATAAAATTTTTAAAAATTTGGGGGAATATTAAATTAATTAATTATAAAAGGAGGAAATAAATTCTTTAAAAAAGACGTAATTAAATTTATTTTTAGAAGATTGGTAGTAGTTTTAAAATTAAAGTCGGACCTAACTTGTAAATCCGAATTTTAAAATTAATGTTGTGTCCACACCAGAGGTGGGTCGAAACAGTTAGAGGTGTTGGAAATCGGAATTCCGACACACCACTGGTCCGCCTTGCAGTAGGAATGCAGTAAATGAAAATAACCCTGCATCGGGTTGGACGGTGGCACACAGTCGATTGTGCTTCGAATTGGGTCCTTTCCGCGATGGTCAATTACACCCCTCATCTAGAGGTCGATCAGAAATGACGAAGGAGCCGAAAATTGGAACTGTCGGAAATAGAAAATGGCTAAAAGTCGGAAATTGGAAATCAGCGCAAATTTTCGGAAATCGGAAGTCAGAAATCGGAATTCCGATCGACCTCTGCTCCAATCCAATGAATCAAGCATAACATAATAATTAGGGTTGTTCCCCGAAGGAGAGGGAGGGCCACGGGAAGAATTTCCGAGGAGGCAGCGCCACGGGAGGGCGACGGGGAATTTAAAAAAAAACACTAATTTCCAGAAAGGACGGGGTATAACACTAATAATAATTAGCT